TACCACTCTGCCGACGAGATGGAGGAGCCCGAGGGGTTCGCGGCCGACGGGGAAGCCGACCGCGCGGCCCCAAGTGCGCGAGCCCCCGCGGTCGCTGGAGCGCCGCGCGGCCCGCCCGCCAAGCGCGCTGGCGCCGCCGCGCCGCCACGGGTCGCGGGTCCTGCTCCGATTGCTCCTGGTGCTCCTGCGGCGTCTCTGGACGACGGGGCTCCCATGACCCGCGCCGAGGTAGCTGCCGAAATGCGCGCCTTGCTTGCAGCCCACGCGGCCTCCACGATGGTCGGCGGACCCGAACCGCTGGGCCCCGCTCCGGCTGCCCGGAGCGCTCGGCCCGAGGTGCCTCAGCTTTTCAGCGACGAGGCGGCGCGCCTCGGGCTGGATCCTGCGGGGATCGAGGCCGTCTTGTCCCACGCGCCCGTGGCCCCACAGCGGGTCTCCGCGCGCCCCAAGGGACCCACCTCCGCGCTGGTCTCGGCGTGGGAGAAGGCGCGCTCTCTTGCTGTCCCTCGGGCCCCTTCGTCCGCTTTCGGACCGATGGGCCCCCCGCCGCCGCCTGGGCTAGCCCATCCCGCTGCGGTCGACGGCTTTGCCGAGGCGGGCGGCGCCGACGGGTTAGAGCCGCCCCTTGCGGCCAATCCGACGGACTTCAGCCTCATGCTTCAGTGCCTGCACCAGTCCCTTTCCTTGCAGCAGGGGCGGGGCCATCGCCCAGCCTTCCACCCGCTTCTGGGGACCCTGAGCGACCAAGCTCAATCTCCGCCCGCGACCTCGGGCGACCCCGCGCACGCATCGGCTCAGATGGGGGGAATCGCTCGGAGGCGCGAGTGGCAGCAAGTGCTGATGCAGCACGGCCCCGACGTGCGAGGACTGATGAAGGAGAATTTGGCCCGCGTTCTGGGCGTGGAAGTCAGCGCCGTGACCCCCATGGCCATGCATCAGTACTTTCGCGAGCACAGCCCCCTCGGGGCTCAGCCGTCGACGCACGAGTTGTTGACGCATTTTGCCTTCCTCAGCGCCGAGCTGTGGCGGGCCTGCGAAGAGGGCAACCCCGAGAGGGTCCAGACCTTGCTGACTTGCCAGTGCATGTTCATCGACCAGTTGGCGGGGGACCGCGGCTACCTCGAGGCCGCTTGGTTCCTCACGGGGCTGGAGCCTCCCCCGTGTCGCGTGACCAGTCGTCACACGGAGCGCGAGGCCCAGACCCCGTTTTCACCCCTGGTGGATCCTCGCTGGCTGTCGGCGCAGGGCGAATACATGAAGGAGCTGCAAGCATTTCGGGCGCGCCTCGACGCCGAGCGCGCCGTCGCGCTTCCCAAGCATCCACCTCATCAGCCCAAGCAGCCCAAGGTTTCAAAGCCCCCCTTCAAGTCTCAGGGTGCTCCCAAGGCCCCGAAGGCGGTGCCCAAGAAGGACTGAAGATGCCCTTGGCGCCCGCCTTCTTGGAGGGGGGGCCTTCGCGTGGCCGAGGTACGCCGCCGCAGACAGTCTGCACCGACGCTGCTACGGTTGCTAGGCGTGTTTGGGCGCAGCGAGGGCGTGAGGGTAGGAATGCGCTCCTCCAGCGATGCTGTTGCGGCCCCGCAGGGAGGAGTACGTTCCGCCACCACGCCCCCCGCTCTGCTCCGAACCGCTCCTCGGATCCATTCGGCCATTTTGGCCGTCGCCTGCCTCAGTCGAGCGCTCCCTCCATGGGGCCTGCAGCCCCTGAGGTTGGTGTTCTTGCTGGTGCTTGTTCTCCTTCAAGCACCCCTGCTGCTCTTGCCAACGTCGCGCCATTCGTCGCTGACTTGTCTGCCTTGCTGCGCCTGTTTCCAGGCGCGAACATTGATATCACCCACTGGGCGGCAGCGCTGTCCCAGGTTGGGATGGGTGCTCGATGTTCTCTTGGATCTTTCTCCCGCTCATCAATGCGTGCAATGGACAGGGACGACCCGTACCTTTTGGGGCCGCCTCCCCGCGATCCTTGGCCGTGCCCGCCTGCTCCACCTCTTGGTCCCCCGCCTGACGGCTTGTCGGCGAGGCGCAGGGGGCGCTGGAGATTGCGGCGCGCGGCGCGGACGCTCGCGCAGTATTCTGTTATTGCGTTGAACTGGCTCACTTTGGGTCATCCTAGCCTCGCTCCCGCCGAGGCTCGCGTCCGCGCCACGGTCTCGCCCTGCCAGGAGGGCGTCCGCACCCGTATCGAACGGTTGTGTCGGATCGCAGTTCGCCTTGCCCGTGGCGGCAAGAGCGACTTAGGTCGAGCCTTCGCCAAGTTCGACTCTACTGAGGTCTCGCTCCATGGCCTGGCCACCCATGTTGCAGCTTTGGAGGCCTCCTTCACCTCCTCTTCTTCCGTGCCCGCCCCCATGCGGCACTGCCCGACCAGCGCTCCTTCCGTGCCTGGTTCGCTGGCGTCTGCGGCGGCTTGGGACTCCACCCAGGTCGAGCCCTTTGATTTAAAAGTCAGGGCGTCTCGCATCAAGTGGGATTATTCGCCAGAGTTTGATCCCATTCCATT